TGTCGTGAGTCGACGGTTATTTAGGCGACAGATGAAGATCAAAGTAGTAACTTGAATATCGTATCGGAAACGTAGCTACAATACTTTAGTAGGTTGTTTAACCCTTGGTTCCGGTAGTGGGAGCCGCTTCGGATCTACGCCATTGTACCTTTGCTGGGTGGACTGGCCTCCGTACCACGCCATTAGCGCCAAACTCTAATGCTGTTGAATGCATATATTCTGCCCATGGATTGTGTCTTCTTTTGACTTCAGGTAAGTCTAGGGGTGTTGTTGCAGCAGCCGTAAATCCAGCAGCCAAGTTTTACAAGCAAAATTAGTCGTGAATAAGTATTATAAGTAGATAAACGTTGGTTATTTTTGTTAAAAACCTATTGGCACAGAAAAGACAAGAAACTGTTCTAAACTTTTTCAAAGATCAAATTTTTACTGCTCTTTTGAAATCTTAAACTGTAACTAAAATAAACAACATATTTATGCACAAACTCTAAGTTTTACCAGTTTACAAAAAATTGTTTTAATATACCGCCTTCACGTCACACAATAAGAGGCGGCCTATTTGCGGTTCATTGGGGCTTTGACGTCTTGTGCTTTTAGCTTATTAGGTATTTTTCCCAGGATTACCACTTGTGAATCGCCCTTTTGTTGTATTTTTACACTCGGTACTGTTCTTTGGGAGTCGCCGAGCGTTAGTTCAGAATCCACGTAGCGACGTTAGCTCCCAGGTGATGCATATTTTATTGTACCGTCCCATCAGAATGCCATCGTTAGTTAACTGTTTTTTGGATCCTAATTGTTGACAGTGCTGGGACTTAAGCCGATTTTGTGCACTTTTGGCTTCCTAAACATCCACCGCACTGTTCCAACTTGAAGAAGAGCTAATTAATTACATGCTGGTGTCATTTCTTGTGGTATTACACTAACCATAAAATGGCTTCTATTAACAGAGCTTTATTGATTCTGGGGCTTTATTTAGTGGGACTATCGACTCTAAGCTTTGACCGATTCATAATTTCTGCCCATTTTATTCTACCATCTTTTGCTGTTCTAGAACCAACAGCTCGATGCCCCGAACTCGCGCAAGCGCCGTTCCACGAACACCCGGAGGTGTGCACTTGAAATTCTCCGATATCTCTGCCGACGAAATTGAGTTTGATGACGAGGTCGCAGTGAAGTCTTCTGTCTTTCGTGGAGGAGCAGATTCGCTTTCTGGAGAATTGGGAACTGCTTTTAGTGAAAAAGTAAAATCTACATCAAGAAATTCTTCAAAGTAGGGGTTTTCCCCATTCCGATTTCTTTCAGGTTCATTTTACGGAAGTCCACGGATTTGAGGAAAATTAAAAAGATTGAAGACAAAATAGAAGCCATTTTGGCAAGTCCAATGGTAGAAGTTCGCCGTAGGCCTGCGAGGCAGTCTAAATCATTCACTTCTGACTGTAGGTTAAATGTAATTATTCCCACCTTAATAGCGGATTACGAACGTACTCCGATTCGGGTACCAAGTTCGAGAGATTTGGCGGCAGTCAATAGTCGTCGCATGTCTGCCATCGTGATGTCGAAATTCGCTCCTTTCGCTCACTCAGTATCTTTTTCGGAAGACAGTCAGACATTTGCATGTTCTACTGCATTTAATCGCCGTAGAACGACCGGGAATCCCCAATTGCCCGTTTG